CCTCTTACTCATTGGTTCTTTCTGTTCCCTTCCTTCTCTCTCTTTCTCTCTCTTTTATTCTATTTAAAAGGAGGAGGTAGTTCTCACTCAGTTTCCTACATTCATTCATCTTATTCAGGATTCGACTTCCTGATCTTCCGCTTTGTTATGAAGTCATCTTATCCACACATCCTGTTCAGCCACTTTTTGACCACTTTTGCATCGTGCACCTTCGGACTGTCTTGAGCTCACTTCCATTTCAAGTGAAAGTGTGTTGGGTGAAGAGATTCGAAGGTCGGTTCCATCAGAAGACGACAGCACATTCCTCTTTACCAGCTGCCGATTGGCTTTACTGGAAGATTCATGCTGACGCTGTTTCCGAGACAATCTTCTTCGATTCCGTCATATGACGGACATCATCAGAGCGCGGTAACATCGTCACAAACAAATTCAAGCTAACGAGTCAAGAAAACTCACCGGCAAAGCCCTAAAAAGTGGTATATATACTCTACATCTGGCCTCTTTGATCAAGTATAAAGGGATTTGATTAGTTAAAGTCATATGTCAACTTCAAATCATGTGAATGTGTCTGTCTCAGTATTTGTATGTGCATGTTTGTGTTCGCTTATGCACGAAACCCGAAGTGATGGCTCAGCAAAAAGGAACGTCTGTTTTTAAGTAGATTTTTGCCACTTTCGGCAACTCGTGACTTGGTGTTCTCGTCATCCTTGCTCGAATAAGGTGACGAAGGACTAATGCTCGAATTAAACCACAATCAAATGAGTCGGTCTCACGATACTATCACATTTCACTGAGCCTTGCCTCCCACAAGGTAGTCCCCTCCAGACCGGACCGTGGCCTCGACCTCATCTGGGTCCTATCAGCACTTGCGACGGGAGTCGAACCCGGTGAAAGCAGTGCAATTCAATGTATGCATGAAGTCAACCACTTTGATTGTGGGAAAATCAGTTCTTCATCACATTGTGGACGAATAATAACTGTTAGTTCCGGTTATGTTATTGCCGTTGCCCGACACGAACCCAAACATGTTGGCATAGCCAAACAACCATTCAGAAAACAATTTAACTGGTTCAGGCGAATGCCAAACTAAGCAGGAAGAATGGCGTTCTTTACATGTTCTATCTTTTGCGTCATCCTAATCAGTGGTCGCCATAGGCCGGATAATTACAATGCCTTGGGCATTTTAAAATAATGCGTGGGTTAGCAAAAGTGTAGAACACCGCTTCTGGTGGTATAGAAGGCTTGGCGGCGTGAGCAAAACCTGTGACACGACCCGACAAACAGAACTCATGAAGCCGATTATTTACACACAGGATTGTTATGCCGCTTAACAGACACATCCCAACAGCTCCAACGCATTGCATTGACAACCCCGAACGATCAACAAGCCCCTTAAAGGGTAAGCCTTCGCATGTATAGAGGCTACAGGGACAGGAAAAACTCGTCAACTCGCTTATTCCCGTTCCGGTGACTGCATTTCGCCGGGGCTACAGAACAGGTAGGCTTGTACTGATTTGTTGCCTTGATAACGATAGGTGAAGTCTGTTCAAGAGTGCTAGTCTGGTAACAGGTCGAGAGTATAGGCCGCATCAGCCGGGATCGATTCCGGCGGCGGGTGCTGATGAGGCCTGTCGAGGAGAGGTCGAAACTGCAATCCATCCTGAGAGAGGATAACTTTTAGGAGGCAAGGCGAAGTGAAATTCACCGGCATCGTGAGACGTACTTATCCCATCATGGGAGAACTCATCTACCTGTGCTGACGCAGTTGTATTCATAAGTGAGGTTTTTGAGACCACCTGTAAATCGGATATATTATTTGTTTTCACCCTGTTTCGTGTAAGGTGATGAAGGACTGGTAACTCAATTATCCCACAATGATATGAGTGGGAAAGCAAGGCTATGTGAAATTCAATGAAAACGTCATCTCTACTCATATCGTTGTGGGAAAGTAAAACTACCAATCCTGCATCAGCTTAGACAAGATGGGGTGAAAACAACTCATATATCTGAGTTGTGTTTCACAACTTCTGTTAGTCTCGAGACCGGCTTATGCAGGAAATGGGCTAAAGTACACAGTTCTTCAGGCTTTCCTCGTCCAGTAAAGGCGAGTTGGTGCCCGATGTCCTGGAGACGAGGCTGGATGACCGCATTGTCATGCGCCATTCTCATTTGCAGACCGACCCGGCCGCTGATGGCCTCAGCACTCTCGGTGCCATCTCAACCCTGAACGTGCCGGCCAAGAGGCATATCCGTTACCGCTCAGTCGCAGAAATCAGTCGGAATCTGCACATCGCAAAAACACCAACCGCCAAACCGCTTAAATCGGCTAAACAAAATCTATATTAACGTCAAATTCAGTAGTTATGACGTCAAAGATTTTTGCCAAGCAACGACATAATAATATTTCACCTAGATCGACTAATCTTGATCCACTTCGTGCACGACGCTGGCGCCAAATCGACATAAGCAGTTTATAGCAAATGCAGGAGTACAGATACATCCCGTTGGGGCAGGATAGTAAAAAATGGTAAATTATTGAAGCAGAATATGTCTAAATAATCAATCTTCTATATTGTCTTCCCACATATTTAATGAGCCACAAATACACCCATCCTTGGTTCTTTATTTTTCTATCTTGATTCCCGCTTATTTTTTATTTAAATAAAAGTTTATTACGCCCTTGTCAACTTATACTTTACCGACGCAACTATCAAAATGAAACATCCATAAGGAATAATAAAGAGTTCTGAACTTAAGTGGCATGAAGAAACTCGGATTATGAACAGGTTACTTAAATAAGCATGAGTAGTATTAGATGGTCATCAACATAATTCCAACTTATTTTACTTTAACAACTGCGCTATTCGCCAACACATCTTTGTCGTGCAAAAGTTGCTGGCGGCTCCGGCATTTTTCGACCCTAAACTATGATGATAGCTAGCAAGCATGGTCACATTGGAAAGTGGCTAAAGCATATGAAACTCTGCAAAATGCACAAATCTGGTCACAGAACTGATTGCGGCACCGAGTGACCCTTTATCACCCCTTCGCTGTCAACTTTAACCGAGAAGTGGGTCAATTCTACTCTTTCTCTCTCATGCCAAGAGAGTGACCATGGAGCACTTGCACTTGGAAGGGAGGCCTCGCCCAGTCTGCAATGCCTTCTTTGTCTGAGAGTCTATGATCTTAACTACTCACTTCTGTGATGTCTCATCAGACAAAGGGAAAAGAACTTTGCATACCCCTCAGCCTAGAGCGAAATTACCGAGATGACCGAAATGACCTAAATTTAAAAATAGCATGAGATGTATTTACCCTTTTTTGTTATCACCCTAACGAAACGGGATATATGCATCTCATACATACAATCTACTGGTATTCTATAAAGCTTGCTTATAAACTGAAAGTAAGGATAATGAGGATGAAGGGGATGAAGGACTGGTAGTAGAATTTTCCCATAATGAGATGAGTTGAGCTGACGTTTCCATTGAATTTCACATAGCCTTGCTTTCCCAAAAGTTGTTCTCAT